CTTGAATGGCGGATGGATGATAATGTCAACCAACTTTGGCGGTACTACCCACTGCTCTTCTGGAGGCACTAGATATATCGTTTCTGAATAAGCTACCATGTAGTGATTTGCCATATAGAGAGGGGAGCAAAGTTCCATGTAAATTCTTGAACCAAAATTCGGCTTCCGTTGGTGTTTCAGTGCTGCTAGTGCAGGAGGACAAGGTAAACGTTGAATGTCAAGCACTTTACAGCTGCAAGTTTTACTAACAAGGTTAACTAGGGCATCCAGACCATAGCTGCGCACAGTGAATTCTTGAGCATTAAGAGGATAGGCAAACAGTGCATTTGACAGTTCCATACATTCTTACAATAATTTTTCAGCTGACAGAACAAGGGTTGTAGTAAAATTATCTGACTCCGTACGACGCTCATGGAACCACCGTGACAATGTCCTTTGGATTGCATAAAAAAATGCAACTATTGGAAACTCTCTTTCTATTAACAACTTCGAATTTATGGACTCGGCTATGTTCGTGGTCATGACATCAAACATTCTTCTAGGAAAGTAAGCTCTACTCCATCGCTTGAAACCAACATCATGCTCAAGATACTTAGCAACTCTATCATCCTTGATTCGGATTTGCTGGAAGTGCTCCTCGAACTCATCAACCCGATAAGCTTTTACTGCCATGTAGTATGTCTGAAGGAGGCCAGCACACTTAAACTTTTGTTTTATGTTCTCACCAAGGTGCCTTATATAAAATCCGTAATATGCTTAAAGGTAAATAGTAGCAATCCCCTTCTTTATAGAGTTGTGCCTATCGGATATTATGCACAACTCTTCATTATCAGGCACTATCGTACGTAATTGCTGAAAGAACCAAGTCCACGACTTGTCATTCTCAAAGTCAACCACAGACCATACAATAGGATATGTGTGATTCTCGTTGTCCTGTGTAGTGGCCACCAACAATGTATCTCTATACTTTCCCGTCAAAAAGCAACCATCAACAACCAACACCTTTCTCATGTTTACAAAACCCCTTCTAGCAGAACCATAAGCAACAAAAAAATATTTAAACATCATATTCTTGTCCCACTTCAAGGTCGTCTTGCTACCTTGGTTTGTCAACTCAAGCATATAACGGTATGCTTCTAATACTGTGTACCCGTGCTCCGGCGTGCCTCCCACAAAATCTTGTGCATGTTGTCTCCATTTCCAATATTTCCAGTAACTAACAGCACTTTCCAACTCTGTGCGCACAAGTCTCTGAATGTCTTTAGGAGATGGACCTTTCCCTTCAACGAACTGACTTTTGACAAATTGTCCAATAACATCAGTGGAGGGTTGTCGATGCTCACCTGAAATATGTCCCAAACCACATGTGTGCTCACGGGTATATGTGCTAAGAATAAATTTTTCAGACTTCGTCAACCTTCTACAATAAACCCGCCACTTGCACTTTCGGTCACGACATGCAACCGTCACAACCAATGAATTTGACTTTTTGGTGATTAACTCAAAATTACCTCTTACGGCAACAAGTTTTAGCTTCCTCACCACTTCCTCTTTGTTGTCAAATAAATACCCTATGCGCAACTCTGATCCATCCGTAAAAACATCAGCTGATTCACTACTACCTGCAATTGCCCCCTCTGAACCTGCATAAATGACTATAGTGTTATCTTCCCCACAAACTACACCTTTTGCATAATCTGTATTTAAAGGAATCTCTACATCTGCGGGAACATGTTCCTCCTCCTTAACATTTTCATTCTGTCGCCTATGACCAACCTCTTCTACAATGTCCTCCTCACCACCCAATTCACCGTCTACTCTTGATTTTTCAACTAACAAATCAATTCCCTCATAGTTCAAATTAAAACCAGGCAAATCTCCACCAACTTCCTCGTTATCCCCTTCCTTTGAACCAACTTCCAATGGTTTTTCTATAAAAGAAACCCTTAAAATCGGCCTCGAACCATTATCAGCCACATCAATCATATATAACTTCACACTTTCATATCCGACTTTAATATAACAAGAGGTACCTTATAATGTTCAGGAACTCTGCTTAAAACATACTTCACAATTATATCACTACGTGAGCAACTCAAATCACCTCTTCTAATTATTTCATCAATCAACTCATCAAAACTAACCTCTGTGCTCACAGCAATTGGTATAACTTCTTTGCTCTTCCCAATCCACTTCCAGCTACTTTCTTCCTCCACCCACTCACCAAAATATTCAACACCCAAAACAACTTGTCTCATGTCTAATAATAGCCAACTACATATAATACAAGAAAAAAAATATTCTTAATGGATGTACTAAGGGTTGAAATATTTTAAAAAGCATCTGCACAGTCCCTTGACAGATCTAGTGTATCGCTTAAGCGATCTGGTATATAAATAAGCATGATCGCTTAAGCGATCTTATGCCATTCACCGATTGCTTAAGCGATCTGCTGCTATACACCAGACTTTTAGCAGATCGCTTAAGCGATCTTATGCCACATATCTGATTGCTTAAGCGATCTATCTGCTGCATTACTAGACGTACCAGATCGCTTAAGTGATCCGTCATATCTAGAACATATTTTTAGTCATCTCCACCTACAATCGGTGCTATCACCCCCAGCTACCCACAATGCAAGAAAATTTTTAACAAATTTCACTCCTTTTAACTTCCATTACATTAAACACAACCTAACAACCTAAACAACTAAATCAAAATCATAACCTAAACCTAATCTATCATTAAATCTTTGTAAATCGAAATATAAAATCGAAAGGGGAGATACACATACCTGGACGAAATATCAGGAGGAGAAGGAGGAGGAGGATCTGTGTTGGAGAAGATGGCGGAGGAATGCGTTAATGTGGTGGGAGGAAGAAGAAGAAGGTGTTTGGGTTTGTTTGCAAGATTTTCGACTCTTTGGAGACATATTATAATTTTTAAAAGATTACACAATAATTCATTAATCCTAATTAACCCCTAATCATGTTTAATTAAGCTTAATAAAAAACAAGGCTATTTAGTTAACATTTACAAACTATATAGCATTTTAATTAAATTTTAACTTCAAATGGTCTTTTAATAAAATCCCCTGACAATTTCTTTGATTTGGGTTTGTGTTAAAATGCAACAAATTTTTAGGCTTTTTTGAGACAAAATATAATTTTTGAAATATTACTCAATCCCTTCATTAATCCAAATTAAGTCATAATTATTGTTTACTTGTTATTAATTTGTCTTAATAAAAAATAAAACTATTTAATAAAGACTGAAAAATTTACGTGACCTTTTATTTAAATTCAAGGCCATTTTACCGTTTAATCATTTACCCCATAATGACATAATTGTCATAACTTGTTCATTAATATGTTTTAAAAGTAGAACCTTTCTATATATATATATATATTAATTAATTATTTTTAATTAAATTTTCTTAAAATATATTAAATAATTTTTAAATTTTAATTTTAATAATTTTGAATATTTATTTGAATCACTTTTAAATTCCAAAAGACAAAATAAATCATTTTCAAATTTCAAAAACATTATCAATAACGATATTGGAGTGCAAAATTACTTGTTGATCCCAAAGTGACGGATATTCTCAAACGTAATATTCTCTAATTCCTCTCTCTCTTAACCCTAACTTTCATGGAATTCCTTTGAATCCTTCACGTCCATGAACTTCTGCAAATTTCTCTCCAATTGCTCTCTCTCTTAACCCTAACTTTCATGGAATTCCTTTGAATCCTTCGCGTCCACGAACTTCTGCTTAATAAAAACCATCTCAGCCTCAGTAAACTTTGTCTTTGAAGTCTCCGGCAATGAGTTATTGCCACTCTCCATCTTTGATGCATCTAAAACTTCAAACACATCCTTGAATTCTTGCTCTTCCTTTAAGCTTTTCCTAAAAGATAAGCGGCCAGAAGATTTCCCACTCCTTTGAGCCCTTTCCACTGATGCTGTCCTCAGTTGATAATTCTCCGTGGACCTTTTCTGTTGTTTATGAGTAGACTGGTGAGGTGGAAGACCATCGAGACCCATCAATCTGGAAATTACACTAGGTGATCTTCTCTTGGATTGAGTTTCTCTGTTTCATCACTAATACAGGTAAAATACAAGCTGTATTTTCTTTTTAGTGCAAGAAAAAACCGCTGCTGAGATAAATTTTTTCTTCATTGCTTCTCCTTCTGCCATTTCTTGTTCATTTAATCGTTTTGTTGTTGTTTTTTCTTTTTCTTTTTTCTTTTTTCTGCGATTCAATGTGTAATCTTTTTGTAGTATTTTATTGAATGATGATCAATTTGATTTTGGCTAAATTGATTATTAATTGTTAACTTCAATTGCATGGCTATGATATTGATGAGCAATTGAAGAACTGTAACGGGCTGTGTTTAATGGCTTGGAGCATACATTAATATAAACATGGTTTTTCTGTTTATGAAACAAAAGGAGGTAGATAACTTGTTATAATTGAATGAGGAAGCAAAGGTGATGTAGGATTGATATTACTTTCAAAGATACAATTTTCAAATATAAAGAGAACTAATTTATGTTTGAATGTGATGGATCATTCTATTATTGTATTAAATTGGAGTTTTGATATGTAATTTTAGCTTTTAATATTTACATGTCCTATGACAACGTAATAGGCGAGGCAAACTTCTTAGGGGGTGTAGCTTCTGTTAAAGGTTTGAAGGGATTTGATCCTGAGGTGGCCAAAAAGAGGTTCTTTGAGATATATCTGGCGAAGGTCATTAACGTACTATTAAACCACATATTGCAATGAAAAGATGGTTACTCTTTACTCACCTCTGATTTCCTTCAATGCTTACCAAATTCAGGAATAGGATTTCCAAGAGCCCTTGAACTGATTAATCCGGTGTGTAAGCTAAATAATTTCAAATGTCATTTTCCTAATTACTTGTTGCTGCAATTAAAGATTGGCTAATGAAATGCTGCTGTAAAACAGTGCAAAAGCAAAGGACGTATAATTGTCCAAACTTGTCTTCTTCATCATTAATATGTTTTAAGTGTCGAAACTGATCTTCTTGCTCACAAAACAGTCATCCATGGCTGACAACACGAGCGCATTATTGGAGAAAAAATACTATGAGAAATGTCCAGGTTGTCGAATGAATCGTCTTAAAGAGCAGCAGAGAGGTGTCCCTTACAAGAACTTATCCTACATTTGGCTTGTCTCTCTCTGCACTGGTCGGTTTCTTTTCATTTTCATTAATCAATAATCATTCATTATTTCCATCTTTCTGCTAATTTCTTCATTTTTTTTTTCTGTTTAATGTCTATTTTTTTTCCTTTGTTTTCAGCTTTGCCTATATCATCACTCTTTCCATTTCTCTACTTCATGGTATGCAGCCATTTTTCTCTTCAAAATTTATTATTTCTCTCACTGCTACTGATTCTTCCAAAGTTTATCTAGTTAAATTTATGTTAATTAGCCGAGTAAGTCTCTAGTAGTATTGGCTTTTTTTCCCCCTCATGTATCTCTTGTTTATAACCATTGAACTGAGCTTTGATTTGGTCTGCTACATGATTGCCTTTTGATTGCCTTTATTCATTTATAATTTTTTTCATCTAGAACTTGCTCTTGACTGCTACCTTTTTTGTTTTAGGGATGGAAAGTAATTTCAATGTTATTTATATTTATATTAAATGTTCATACATTTTTTATGTAGATCAGGGACTTCAATATTGCAGAAAGGGAGGAAGATATTGGTTTCTATGCTGGATTTGTGGGTAACGTATTTCTATAGTTCATGCTTTAGCTTTATTTCCTTAACATATGAATCCTCTCTAATTTTGGTCTCTGTTTCATTTGTTTATTTAATAGGATCTTCTTTTATGGTTGGAAGAGCTTTGACATCTGTTTTCTGGGGTGTAGCGGCTGATCGTTATGGTCGAAAACCTATTATCTTAATAGGAACATTTTCAGTGTTAGCAGTTTTAATAAACTTATCATTTCAACTTATTGTTGAGGAAAAGAACTCTGTTTGTTCTATATTTATTTATTTTTTAATGGAATTGACTATAACAATTTATGGTTTCAGGGTTGTGTTTAATGCACTCTTTGGCCTCAGTACAAACTTTTGGATGGCACTTTCAATGAGATTTCTTCTTGGATGTTTCAATAGTTTACTAGGCACAATTAGGGTATGGAAATTTTCTCTTGAAGAAATTTTAAATCATTGGTTTGCGGAGATTTCTTTTTGGTTCAGTTAGCTAGCTATCTCTTTTTTCCTTAATTTCTGAACTCCACATCTTGGGCTTAACTTTTAGGCTTATGCTTCTGAAGTTTGTAGAGAGGAGTATCAGGCTTTGGCACTGTCTGTAGTAAGATGTTTTCTTTGTTATTGTGTTCTGATTGGTATCCAATATCAGTAGTACACTTCTATGTGATTGAAATCAAGTTATATTTCAGGTTAGTACATCACGAGGTATAGGATTGATTATAGGCCCTGCCATTGGTGGTTTCCTTGCACAGGTATTAGATATTTTTCTAGTAGATGCATCCAATTTATTAAATGGTTCTTCTCCTTCATTTTTTTTTTTTGAGACTCATTGACAATAGCTAGTGTTACACGTGCAGTTCATATTATTTTTTTTTATCTTCTGTTACCATATTGGTAATGAGTTGATTGTGTGGAGTCATTTCCATACTTATAATGAAGTCTTTGCCCTGTCCATAATGTAGTAAGCTGGTTGTTGTGTAGAATAACCTACTGCTTGTTTCTTATGGAGAGTATTATTGCATTTGGATATCGTATCCTACCTTATTTGTTATGATCCATTTTTAATTATAAAATTACATTTTGAATGCTTATTAAGTTTGCTGACTTGTTTGGAATTCATGTGTCCATGGCATTAGCCTGCACAGCTTTATCCCTCAGTATTTTCAGAGAGCTCTATCTTTGGGAGGTACTTTATATTGTTACATTTATAAATACAGCATATACTACTACATCCTGAGTTGCATGCCACAGTTCCCTCTTCTTTCTAATCCTAAATGGGAGGGTTTGGCTAAACTCTATTGCTCGAAAATAATGGAGTTTCCCTATAATGTTTTGTGTTGATGTCATAATCACAGATCAAAACCTATAAAACTTAGACAGATCAAAACCTATAAAACTTAGGTCATATCTTATATGAGAACTGGATCAACAATCATATTAAAGCAATTAGAAATAATTCACTATTATTGAAAAATTATGAACATTTGATTCAAATTTAACAAGTTAATATCAATAAATTAGGTCAAATTCTATGTCACTAGTCATTTTGCAATCAATTATTTGGTTGGTCTTAACTAACATTTTATGTTGACATGAAAAGGGAAAAAAAGAAAATATAAGTTAGATAAAAGTATGGACAATTTCACCACATTTTAAGTTATGTAGTGCAGCCAAAATCCAAATGGGGGAGTCCTGGTCAAGATGTTGAGGACTTAATTTTTTTGCTCTTCAAAGTAATCATTTACGATTTGCTACCCTTTGTAAGCTTTCAAATTAGTGGTAATTATGCAATAACGAAAAAAGATATCAGGTGCACTTTTGATTATCGTCTTACTTTAAAATTTATTTTGTTATAAAAAAAAGACACTAAATAAGTATCAGAGTAATTTTATTTTACACCAAATGATGTTTCTAGATTTGATTGTCTGTTTGTAAATTTTGTCATTTTTAATTTTTTTTTTTTTTTTTTTTGTAATAACATGTCTATATCTTGTAGGTTCCCCTACTTTTTACCATGCCTGACCATATCAGTTTATGCTGTGGGAGTTCTTATTGCCTGTTGGTGGCTTCCTGTAAGTATCAAAGATTATGTTAGCATGTTTGATTTTTATACCTTTATTTTAGAGCTCTTGGGTCTTTCAAAGCAATAATTGATTATATCAAGTATAAATTTGCTTGAATAAGTAGAACTGTTTCCTATTTTTCTTACCCATAAAAATTATATTACCACTGCTTATTGACCTTAGAATGGTTGCCTGCACTGTGAATTCACAGAAACTTGATTTAAAATCTAAGAAGTGCTATGAATGAGTTCTAAAATTTCAATATTCTTTGGTAAAACTTCTTTTTCCCCTTGCTAGGCTAGGAATGCTTGGACTATTCCACCTGTGGGGATTAGTTTATGCTCATGTCTGATGGAACCACTTGTCCAATTAATCCAACCCAATTGCAACACACAAGAGCAGAAAAGAAAGTGACACACAATCTGATAAAATTGAATGATATTAATATATTGAAAGAAATGGCGACTCAAGAAAGAGCAACCCAAAGATCGATCCCTAGCAATTCGAGGAGTTGAGAACCTCCTTTAATCACCTATCAGAATTTACTTGATCCCTCCCTTGCCACTCTCTAGCTATTTATACCCATATACTTACTAAACTAACCTTACTCTTAACAAACTTTATTCTATCCAGCCACTTGCATGCATAATCCCATAGCTAACTCTGACTCACACTCATTACAACTTAGTGCTCTTTTTACGACCCCTCGACTTATAGACCATATTAACGGGTGGTGGTCTATCATTATCCCCCCCCTGAGAGCCACCTTGTCCTCAAGGTGGAATTGAGGGAATTGTGTGTTGATGACGTCGAACGACTCCCATGTGGCTTCAAAGGAGGGCAGGTCCTTCCATTGAATGAGGACCTCTTTGGTACCTTGAGTAGGGACTGCACCGCCAGAACTGATTGTGGGTGAACTTGGAGTTCCATATCTTCGGTGAGAAAAGTGGGAAGTGGCTGAGCTGGAACGGAGTTGTGTAGGTTGCGTTTGAGCTGGGACACATGGAGCACTGGATGAATACGAGCAGTGGAGGGTAGAGCCAGTTTGTAAGCTGTCAGACCAATTCTTTCCACCACCTGAAAAGGCCCATAAAACCTAGGGTTGAGTCTCTCAGTAAGTTTCTGGCTAACGACCTGAACCTATAGGGCTGAAGTTTGAGGTATACATAATCTGTCGGGGAGAAGCTGATATCTCTATGATGTTTATTAGTCTGCTCCGTCATGTGTCCTTGAGCAGCTTCCAAGTGATGTTTAAGTTCATTTATGATGGCATTGCGGGTAATGAGTTGTTGGTTCACATCCTCGATTGGGGAGGGGTAATCGGTAAGCTTGAGGAGGAGTGGTGGGTCCCTGCCATATAGGGCCTTGAAGGGTGTCATTTTAGTGGACCGATGGTATGTTGTGTTGCACCAAAATTCTGTCTAAGAGAGCCAATTTGGCCACTATTTAGGCTGGGAACTGCAGAAACATCTCAAATATGCCTTTAAACACTGATTGACCACTTCGGTTTGGCCATCCGTTTGTGGTTGTTATGCGGAACTGAACTTGAGAGAAGTTCCCGTTGCTTTGAAGATTTCCTGCCAAAATTGGCTCATGAAGAGTCTATCTCGGTCCGAAACTATAGACTTGGGAAATCCATGGAGTTTAACAATTTCCTTCATGAATACCGTAGCAACCTCCTTCGCACTAAAATGGTGAGACAAGAGGATAAAGTGTTCGTATTTGGTGAGTCGATCAACCACCATTGGGATACTATCGAACCCCTTGGCTCTTGGTAAACCTCCAATGAAATCCATTGTCAAGTTGTTAAAGACTTGATCAGGTATAGGTAAAGGTTGTAAAAGCCCGGCCGACTTGAGGGTTGAATACTTATTGACTTGGCAAATAGTGCAGGCTTTGACAAAATCTTGAACATCTTGCCTGATCCCTTCCTAATAAGCAATGTTTGCCACCCGTTTGTAAGTCCTAAAAAACCTCGAATGACCTCCATTTGGGCTGGAATGGAATTCTGCCAAGAGTTTAGCCATGAATCTAGAACCTTTTGGTAAAACAATTATGTTTTTGTACAGTAGACACCCCTACCGAAGTCTGTAGTGTGGCCGGCTGTTAGGGCTAAAGAGAAGGTCTTGAATGATAGGTTGCAACTTCGGATCTTGTTGTGCTTCACTGGCTTAATCTTCATATTATGTAAACTGTCCTATTGAAATGGTGTTCAAATCTGGTCCCTCCACTCTTCTTGACAAGGCATCAACCAACTTGTTTGTATTTCCCGGCCAATAGTGAATATTGAAGGAGAACCCCATTAGTTTGGACAACCACTGTTGTTGTTCAAGAGTTTTAATTCGCTGGTTAGTGAGAAATTGCACTCCTTTGGTCAGTTTTGATGACGAATCGTTTGCCCAATAGATACGGGCTCCACTTATGCATGGCAAAAATAATTGCCATCAGTTCACGTTCATATATTGATTTCTGTTTTGCTTGTGGTGAAAATGTTATGCTTAGGTAGGCTATAGGTCTCGACTGCTGGACCAGAACTGCTCCCATACCATGGCCTGAAGCATCAGTTTGCACTTCAAAGGGAAGTGCAAAATTTGGAACTGCTAGGATCGGAACCGAAGTCATAGCTTCCTTGAGTCTATCAAAGGCCATTTGTGCTCCCTCATTCCAACTAAATGAATCTTTTTTTAAGCAAATCAGTAAGTGGTTGTGCAATACTGTCGTACCCTTTGACAAATCTCCTATAATACCCTGTAAGCCTTAAAAATTCCAGTAGACCTTTCACATTAGTTGGAACAAGCCAATTAACCATTGCCTCAATCTTTTGTGGGTCTGCTTCCACTCCTTAAGCTGAAATTAAATGGTCTAAATACTCTAGTTTCTTCTGACCAAACAGGCACTTCTTCTTGTTCATTATCAGTTCGTTGTCTTGTAGAATCTTAAGGGCTTGTTCGAGATGTATCATGTGGGAATCTAGATTAGGACTGTAAATAAGAATATCATCAAAGGAGACCAGCACATATTTTCTCAGAATAGGCTTAAAAATAACATTCATTAGGGTTTGAAAAGTTGATGGTGCATTAGTGAAGCCAAATGGCATGACTAGGAACTCATAGTGATCGTCATGAGTTCGGAAGGCGGTTTTGTGAATATCTTCCTCCTTCAATCGAATCTGGTGGTATCCAAATCGTAAATCTAGCTTTGAAAAAGAAACCATCCCAGCTAGTTTATCCAACAGCTCTTCGATAGTGGGTATGGGAAACTTATCAGGGATAATTATCTCATTGAGTGCCTTATAATCAACACAAAACCTCCAACTCCCATCCTTCTTCTTGACTAGTAACACTGGGTTGACAAAAGGGCTGGTGCTAAGTTGAATGATCCCAGTCACCAACATTTCTCCCACCATTTTCTCTATTTCGTTTTTCTGGAAATAGGGATATCTATAGGGTTGTATATTGGGTGGTCGAGCTCATTCTTGCAAGACTATGGCATGGTTATGCTGTCGGTGTGGGGGTAGTTTAGTGGGCTGGTCAAACAAATGGTTATACCCTTCCATTAATGAGAAAAACTTGATGCGTTGTTACTACAACATGCATAAATAGCTAGTGCACCAGTTGCACAAAGTAATAAAGTGATGAGCGAGTATCGTTCCCACGAGGATTGGTTGCTAAGCATTAAGTTTTCTACTGTTTTCAAGTTGGAGCAATTGAATTTGTTTGGATTAATGGGAGAAAAATTAAACTTAAAACTAAAACAAAAATTGCTAAATATTCAAAGCTAAATTATGAAAGCAAGATTAAAAACAAGGTAATATCAATTTAAACAAACGGGTAGGGTTTTGACTTTATTCGGACTTTATGGATTAAACCTCTGGATTATACTATTTCCATATTCACATGCATTGATTGTAAATCGAATTCTCTAAATTGTAAAACATACATTCTCAGGCTATGTTTTCCTACAACTTCCGCACCTAACAATTTGAAGATTAATAATTCTAAGCTCATTAAGCACATGGAATCCTAGAGTGATTTCATTGATTCTCAAATCTATCTCTAGCATTCAATATTATAATGGTGATTACCCAAAAAGTTTAACATGACTCATTTCTCAATCTCATCATGTTCATCAATTAAAAGCAATAAAATCAGAATAACCATACAATCCATGTAATAGCATATGAAAATAACAAAAATCAATTGCTCAATCCATGGAAATCCGAATTACATCAAAACCCTAACTCAAAATGGGTTAGTTCATAGCTAAATCAAAACACACAACAAGAAAAACAATAAACACAAGGTTCAACATATGGAAATGAGAGAAAAGACAAGAGATCTCCCCTAGTTGAAGAATCCACTAGATTCAATCCCAAATTTTCTCACTTTTCAACCCAAAATTCGTCAAATCTAAACTAAGGAAGATGAAAATAAGCTGATCTAGACTAAAAACGACCTCCCTCTCAAAATGGCAAAGTTTTGCTTTTATATTTTGCCCAAAAACCTAAGACTTTGCCTAAAATTGAAACTGTGCGTTTTAAAGAAATTGAAATTTGCAGACTTCGCCGCGGCGACGAAGTAAAAAGAACTCTTGTGCGTAACTCCTTTCGCTGCGGTGAAGAACAAACTCAACCATTACTCAAGGTGTCAACCAATTTACAACCTTCAACAATGCACAATTCTTATTTTTGCTATTGCAATGCAATTCTCGAATTATTATTATTTTTTTTAAATAAAAATAACAAAAATCAATTCGAATTGAGGTTAACTACCTCTCTTATTCTTCTTGCCCTTCTCACAACCCCCAATCTATTCTTTTCGTTCATTTACACAACTCTTCAAGTTCTTTGTGTTTGTGTTAGGTCCCAAATTCTCTTAAAGGGTATGGTAAAGTGTTTAGGGTAATTGGATTGGACAATTTTTGGTTTGCTAGGAAAAATAAAGCAAAGATAATCTCATAAGGCTCAAATGGGTGACTAGGGCAAAATTCATTCGTGGGTTGGCTAGGAA